CAGAGTGTAAACCTTTATCCTGTTACGGTTTATAAGCAGTTTGACATGTATTCGGTTCCTGCTTTGAACCTGTTTCTCACACAGGTTCTTCTGTTTACATACATTTGATGAGCAAAACAGCAGTCACTCTGGTGGAAACAAACATGATTTATCTAAACTGTTAAAAGCATGTGCTGTTTTGCATGGGGTGTTTCAATTCACTTTGTTGAATTGTCTTTGGCAATGGCTCTGTACCAGATGTACTGGAGAAGGATGTAACAGCACATGTAACGAGCTCCTGTGGAACAGCTTTCCCACAGATGGACCTTCTCAACACATCCTCTTCATCAGCAGCCCCCTAGAAGCAGTGTAAACTGTTCAAGGAAAGACATTTAGGCATGACTGCATTACCTCCTGCCTGGTGAGGGCCATTTGTGTGCCCATTTGAAATAGGAATATATTTACCTTCTCCATTAGCACTCCCTGGAATGGTGCTGCAGTCAGGTGATCCTGCTGTGCTGCAGCCAGTGAGTGGCTGTTAGCACAAACACAAGGGCAGCTGTTTTGTGTAGGGTGATGGAGACCTGCTCATGTGGTTCAGGCTGGAAAGACTCCACTCTGTTTCCTGGTCTGAATTCTGACTGAGGCTCTGAGTTATATTTGAAGTGACTATATTTGGCTACTTCAATTAAAATATTTTCATGTATGAAGAAGCGCATGTCAAAGGAAGTAGTAACTATGAAGAATATGGAGCCCTTCAACTGTTCAGCCACTCCCCAGCTGAATTAGAAAAACTGTTACTAGTTAACTGCTCACAAGCTTTTGATAGGTGTTTGATACTCATTGGAAATCAGCTTAAGATCAGTACCCAGGCTGTAGTTGTTGAGTGCCACACAAAATACAGGTTGGAGCCCTTTTTTCAGTCTTGGAGGTGATTTAAGAGTCACACTGCAAAATCTTCCTGAGTGTGTTTGCTGTGCTTGTTCTAGGACTGCTCTCTGTAGGCTTGTCATCCCCTTCCAGTGCTTTTGACAGAAGATTTACTTCTGCTTTTATTCCCTTTGGGATGGTTGGAGAAATAACTGCAATCATTCCTGCAAACCCTCTGATTATCCTGTGGTCATTTTAAAGTCCTGGAAGTAATTTTTTTTTTATATTGTTGGATCTTGTGTTCTAGGTAGGGACATTTTATATCATGAGATAATTGTGAAGAGAGGTTTTAAAAATACTAATTATATTTTTTTAGTTCAAACTTTATGCTTCTAGATAAGCTCAACTGTTCTATAAATAATGCAGGGCAAAAGAAAGCTTATGAAATGGCTGAATTGCCACATTTACTTCTTGGTTTCCGGGCAATAGATTGGGCATGAGATCATGGGAATTTATTGTTGTGCTTATGAAAGCTGAGCTGGTTGGAGAAGGGTGACTTTGGTATTTGAATTGGTAGCTGAGCACTGGAAGAGAAACCTCTTCCTTTGAAATATATGCAGTGGCCTCCAACTGAGTGAGCTAAGCTGTGCCCAGTGCATTCTTGGGCTCTTTGCTGCTGGAGCAGCCTGTGGCAGTGTGCTGGCCTAGAATTTATTTAAAAGATACTTTCCTGTGTTAAGTCGCAAAGTCTAGTGGCAGGAGGCTTTTAGCCTTGAAATGAGGTAAAAGGAAAGAGGGAACAGTTGGTGAGGTTGAAGTTGGGGGCAGAGGAAGAGTCGCTGCTGTGGATTTCTTCTCAAGAACTTTGGGATATCATCTTTGTCACCGATGCTCCTTCTCTGTTTCTCTTACAAACCTGAGATGTGTGTGTTGTGGGGAGGTTCCCCCCACTGAGGAGAGAAGGTGCAATGAGGTGAAGGCTGGTGACCATAAATAAATAAATATTTGGGATATTGGGGTGCAATTAAGGTATTCTCCAGAAAGACAGGAATGCAGAAATCTAGGAGCGGCTTGGAAGTGAAGGAGCTGCAAGAAAGTGGTTCAGGAAAATGAGTCGGCTCAGTGCTATTGAAGCCCATGGGAGATGACTCTTGGACTGTAGTGAAGATAATGAAGAAGGAATGTCAGATCATTAAACTTGAATAAAAATTAGTCAAGTATATGCTTGCTGTGGCTCCCATCCACAGAATGCTGTACAGTTGTTGTATTTTGTTTAAAATAATGACACTTCATCTTTTATTTTTCAATAATCCATGACCTTGGTTTCATTTTACTGAAAAATTTTGGTTTGAGTGTGTTACCAGTATATTCTTTTATGCATCTGTCTGATACTAGAATTAGTTCACATATTTATGTCTAGGAGCATTATGTCTTAAGCCTTATGTTGTAAGTGAAATTAAAAGCAAACAAATTTAGGAAGGGTAAGAGGAAATACAAACAAGTGCATTCTTGTTTCAGAGTTACAGGACTAGGAGTGTCCTGTGTTTCATTTGTTACTTCAAGAGAATCATCTTACTCATCTTCATGAACTTAGTAGGTCTTGTTTTTGCTACCCTTCCTGTGTCTCTGGGGCATTCCCAGAAGGGTGTTTGTGTGTATTGAGGTGGAGCAGGACTTCTGAAGTTCTTGCCAAACAAGTAAAAGAACCTATTTTTTTTGCCATGAAGCTGAGACATTTTGTCTGGCCATAGTGTCAACTGCATCTTGCTCTTTGGTGCGACTTTCCATTGGTTCTGGTCTGTACTGTGCAGGCAGAGGTGAAAAAGGGTTTTGTAGCTGGGGTTGTGCCTCCTGGGCAGACCTTGTGCTTGGCAAGTCCCCAAACACTGCAGCTGTGGTACCACACCTTGTGCTCCATGCCCCGTGTACCACACGCTTGGTCTGTATCATGAGCCAATGTTAGGTATCCTGTGTATCAACACTCACTTCAGTTGAGGGGTCAGCTCTAGCTCAGTGTGTGTGAGAGACTGGACATGACACTTAGTGCCGTGGTCTAGTTGACATGATGGTGTTAGGTCATAGGTTGGACTAGATGATCTCAGAGGTGTTTTCCAACCTGATTGATTTTGTGATTCTGTGAAAGAATCTTGAGTTTAATGAAAAGAATTTAGAACTAGACAGTTTAATGAGTTTTGTTCCGAATTGATTTCCCTGCCTGTCCTTACCCTCCTCCCTGGTGGTTCTGGATGGGGGCAGGTGCCAGACCGTAAGCTGTGACTGACAGTGAGCTTTTTAAAGAAAAGGAGTGTTTGGGGGGATTTTAGGTGTTTGCTCACTGCATAGCTCAAGTGAACGAGCTTTGTGCAAACCTAAGGATGAAGGTGCTGCCTGGCATGCAGCAGCTGTACACATAAGGGGAAAACCCCCACAACAGAAAGGAAGGAGATGGAAACTTGCCTTTGCATGTAGCCCGAAACACACGGTAATCGATTGCAGGTGCTCTCGACCTGTGAGTTGTAAACAGAAATCAGGAAATCGCAACTGCACTGCCCTTCCTGTGTTGCTCAATGGGCAGGGAGGAGCAGCTGGGGAGGGAGAAGCCTGGGAACCACTGCTCCATGGCTTCTGCTGCCCAGGAAGACAGAAGTGTTGCCTGTGCATCACTCTGCTAGTGGGTCTGGTGCAGGGCCAAGAGGGCTGTGAGGGTTATCTTCCCTGCCACAGCTCACTCACTTCAGTGTACGTAAGCACATGTGTGCACACGCTGATTGTTAATTCTCCCCAGCCACCCCCTTGCAAAAGAAAATTCAAGGTGCTTGCCTAGTCCAATCAGTGACACTTGTTCTTAGAGCTTTCTAGGGCTTTAGAGGCATATATTGGGGATAAATCACGGTACTGAGTGTCAGGTTTAAAAAACACCATTATATCAGGAGCTATACTCATCTAGATTCCAAGTTGGCAGTCTTGGTTTGTTGCACAAGAGCCAGTAAAACAGCTCATTAGTGGTGCTGCTTACTTAAAAGTCCAATAAAACACGCAAGGTTACTTGGCTGAGTGGTGCAAGCTCTGATGAGTGGCTCTGAAGAGGTGGAAGGCCATCTTCCTTATGGAGAACACTTTGGTAGCTATCATGTCTGGTTTAGAAGCATAGCTAGAAATGGAGGAGAAGAAATTTGGAACTTTTTTGATAAAGAATATCTGGATGAGCACTTCAGTCTCCTGTAAAACATGTTTGACTCGCTTGGTGCAGTGGAAAGAGTCAACACCTCTGGCAGAGAAGGAAGATGGTGATGTGGGAATAAAGGCCTCTGGTTAAGGCTGTAAATAGCAGTTGAATCAATTAGAGCTGGTGAAAGTGAAGGTGGTTGTCAGGTGTCTCACTGGGTGGTGAGTGCTCCAGAGAAAAGAGTGTGGATAGGTGCTCTGGTGAAGCCTTGTGAAGCAGCAGAAGGCTTTATCAGGAAGAGTCAAACTCTGCTGGCAGCTGTTGTTGTGCACTTGTTAATGGTAGAAACGTCTGCAGAATATTAACCTGAACCTGTGTTCTGTGTACTGCTCCCCATAGGGGTTTGGGCAATTGGTCTCCTTCCTCTGAACAAGTTTTCATGTGCTGAGTGGAGAAATCAAAGAGTTTTGCATGGTGGTAAGGTACTGGGAAACCAGCATACCTTGGGGTGCTTCACTTGACAAGCCTTGTCAGTTCTGATTGACTGTGCTCTTCATATATCTGTTTTCTGGCTACTGTTGGACAGAAGGGTAATAAATGCGGTTCTGATCTGCAGTTAATTTGGTATGAGTCTCCTAGGTTAAATTATTCCTTGGACTCACATGGGACGAGCAGGTGAGGAGAGTGATTCACCACAGAGAAATGGGGACATTCTCCCCCATTTAGTTTCTGGGGGGAGACAGCCAGGAAGGGCATTATCTCTGCATTGCTGTAGCAGTAAAAAGGATGGGTTGGTTCTCAGATTGCATCTTGTCTTGCACTATGATTTCTACTTGCCTATGCAATACACCTTTACAGAAATGTACAATAGTTACCCTAATGTTAGAGCAAACTGTGGACTTGCTGTTGAAATGGTTTATTGTTTTATGTGTGCATTTGGCAAGAGAGTCCCTTGAAACTAAAACTTTCCTTGTTGCTCTTCCAGACACAGTTGAGTCCATGCTTTCAGACTACGACATCCTTTCTCAGTCCAGTATCCAGCAGCACTCACTGAAGAAGAGGGACCTCCAGCCTGAGACACACATAGAGAGGCTCTTAAGTTTTTCAGCCCTGCAAAGGTAATTAACTCATCAGCAATGAAATAGCGTAATATTTTCCTTCAATTTGTGATGAGTGATGTGCAGTTTCAAACTTAGAAATAGTTAACCTTGTTTTCTGACTGGCCAGTTAGCTTTGAAGTTAGTGATCTGCATGGTTATCTGAGTTCAGAGAGGCTCAGAGAGAATGGGAAAATAAGTCACATTGTATTGCTCTGATTGCTGGAGTGGCAGTGATTTAGGATTTCTCTTGCTTTGTTCTTAGCTGTAGTTTCATGTAGATTACTTCCAGTGTTTGGTTTGGATCCCACTTATACCTCATCTGGCAACATAGTCATACTTCTCGACTGTCCTCTGGTTCTTGAAAATCTCAGCCTTCGGTGTGGAGAGCACATGTGGTGTGTTGCCCCAGAGGTGTATTTTTTTTCATGGAGGTCTAATCCTCTTCCTACTGGGTGTGAATTTCCCATTAAATAAAATACTTCTTTTAATTGTTTCTCCGTTTGGTTTTTTTTTTTTTTGGTTATGAGCTGGGAAATAGAAGCTCAGATGAAAGAGGAAAAGAGAGGTAGAAGGGAGCAGGCATGAAGATTGTAGGGATTTTGAGAGTCAGAAATGTGCCTTACAGGTATTTGAGTGCTGAAATGTGAGTCTGAAATGGGTAGCAGGGTGAGAATAACACTTTGTATTAGCACATCTAGATCCATTTTGTTCATCTGACGTCATTGCTGTGTTCTCATGTGCCTTCCCCTGTGTCGTCTAAACTGTCATGCAAGTTGTGCATATTTTTTGAACATCTAAATGTTTGGAGGGGGCAGTTTTTAAGTACCAAGTACAAAAGGTTGATGGGATCAAACGTCTGACTGTCCCTGTTTCGCACTGCCTCATGCACCCTGACTTTATGGTGAGGTTGCAATACTGACAGTGATAATTAGAGCATACTAATTGCATGCCAAAAATCTTTGACCCAAAGCCCACATAAACCAAGAGCCCATGAGGCTTCTTCCAGAGAAGATTCTCTACTTACTTCTTGGGATAACCTTTAGTTTCTGTGACAATATATCATAAAAATCTACAGAGTTCAGATTTCTGTTTGTGGTCTTCTGACTGCATTATTTCAAGATCATTTAATTTAAAATAGATGAAGAAATTCATTGGTCTGGTTTTTCTTGACATAGTTACCAGTAACTGGTTTTGCTTGACTGCAGATGGAGAAGGTGCATCATGAGCAAACTGTGACTGTTTTGGATTCTGGGGATTGATTTTTGGTTTTTTCTTTCAGTTAAACATCTGTGAGTCTTTAAAATATTTACAGTTATGAATTACACAGTATATGTTTATGTAGCCTCCTTTATCAAAATGAATGTGTTCTAACTTATCTTGGACCCTCAGTAAAATGGAGACTGAATGTATCTCTTACATGGATACTTTGCTAAAAAATAAATGGAAGTAAATTCTTTTGCAGGCACTTTAAATTATACTTAACTGCAACTGCTGAACACTTTTCAGAAAGATTTCAAGCATTAATTGTGGATGGTGAAGGCAAGGAAAAGGAGTATCGAGTTCAATGGCAAGACTTTTTCACCGGACATGTCGTTGGTTAGTATGAAATGGACTGTGGGTCAGTGCTGAGAAAGCACAGCTTTGCACGAGTCTCTTGGGCAGAGTAAATGGTATATTGCTCTCATTTTCATCAGATACAGTTGGGATTAAGTACAAATAAACTTAATTCTCATGCCCCTCGGGTTTTCTGGTTTTGTTTCTGTGGTGTGTTTAGGGATTATTTTTTTAAGGTTTAGTGGGTGGTAGGGATTTTTTGAGCTATTACACCAACGTCCTAAGATAGGACTCTTGTGTTTAGTTTGGCAGAACACAAAGGTGTAATTTACTCCAGCAGTGGCTTGCAAATTATTATTTATTTTTTTCAAATTACGGTGGTAGCTTTAATTCCAGCTGGAATGTGGGACTTGAATGTTCCCTGTCCCAGAACACAAAGGCAAGGTAGAGGTGATGCGGTGATGCCCAAATTGTTCGATTAAAATACTGAAAGATGGTTCTTTGCAGATTACTTTCCTGTAAAGAAAGGGTATCTGGCTCTGCTTTAGTCCAGCACTAATGCTTCCCCTAAGTTGTTTTGATTCCGGTGTTACCTTTGTGGTGTGGTGAAAGTCTTTTCCACTGGAATGCAGGCTGAGCCTGAAACTGCTCTCTGGTAGCAGCTAGAGGCACACTGCTTTTGTTGGCAGAAATACTCTGTGTCCCATTACTAATCCACAGAGCCATCTCAACACTTTCTGCAAAATTATCAGTTAAATCCGAGTCTTGTTACCTATGACCATTGAACAGTTAAGCCTGGGAGGATGTGCTGCTTCATTTCTTTTTTCTTTAAACTGAACAGTACAGTTTTCTTCAGAGACCAGGGAAGGTAGTTTGGCATGAAGTTTGGAAGCAATTGATCAACCCCAACAAACAATGCCTGTGCAGGAGTGCATGCAAACAGCTGAACTAATTTATTGCTTCCTTATGTTAAAGGAGAGCATGATTCCAAGGTTGTGGCACATATTGGGGATGAAGATTTTACAGTGCGAATCAATACTGATGGAGAAGAATACAACATTGAGGTATGCTTTACTGTGGGAAGCTGTGTTCACAGTCATTTTTTTTCCCTGTGGGTGTTTCTAGTTAGTCATGTTGACACCTCTAGCTCAAGCTTGACTTGGTGGTGGTGTTTGTTTTGGGGTGAGTAGGGAGGAGGGAGAGAAATGTGAAACCAATTTGACTTTTGCAAGTGTTGACTTTTATTAGTGCGTGTTGCAAGTGTTGACTTTTGTCAGTGAGTGCCATTCTCCAAGGGTTGTATGTTTTAGATACATCAGGGAGAAGGTATGTTTTAAACAGGAAAGGGTTTCAGAAGCAGAAGTGGATAATGTTAGTAATTAGTGGTGATCATATCCTCTAGAATAACAAACTGTGTGGCAGTCTGAGCAGAGTCAAGGTCTGTGGAGCTTTCCAAAACTTTAGCTTTGTTACATGTTGGAATTTTTCCAATTCTTGGAGCTTCATTTGCAAATCTGATATTTTATCTCAGAGCTTCATTTGAAAAATCTGGTATTTTTCCCTATTCCATTGTTTTTCACCATTTTAATTGCTTGTGGTGTTTTAAACTTTGGTTAAGAAAACATGTGCAACAAATATATAATTAGAAACTATCCTAATGGGTTGTTCAGTGCAGTTTATTCCCAGACACAAACAGTATTAGAATGGCTGAATAACAGTAATTATGGCTGAGTGTTATATGGATATTGTAATTATCTCCAGACCCAAGGATATGCAGAATTATGGGTAAACCTGAGAAATCTAGTCTTGTTAAAGTACAAAAATGTGATTAAAATACCCAAACCACTGTACTTGTCTTTTGCATTAAGAACATTTAATATCTGTTTTATTGTGATTTAAAGCATTTCCGTGTTTGTGGTCCAGAGCAGTGTAAGTGTATCCTGGTTCTCCATGCAGCCAGTCCCCTTGCTCCTCAGTGCCTGTGTCTGTACAGCTGAAGGTAGGCAGTGGTGTGCAGGCTCTGTCTTGCCCACACTGCCTAGTTGTTGGTGTCCCCAGGTCAGCTTTGGCCCCTCTCCAGCCCTGGATGAGACGATGCCCATGCCTGTCACAGAGGGTGTGTGCCAGAGGCTGTTCCCAAAAGGCAGCATGGACAGAGCTGCTCTGCCATTGCCTGCCTTTGTTTTCATGATACTCCTGGACAGTTGGGAAAGGCTGTGCCCTCACACCTTGCCCTAGGGTGCAAAATGTGCCCTCAGTTTTGTGCTGCAGATGTAGCTGTTGGGCTGTTTTGGGACCTTTTTGCTGTCAACTGAAAGTACAGTATGTTAAACAATAGTTGTCTGAAGTTGCAAGAGCACTGCCCAAGGGCCAGAGGAGACCCAGACCCAGGTGCTGTACATTGTGGATGCAGGCAGCCTGTGCTGCTTGGCCTTGCCCAAAGGACAGACCCTGTCCACGCTGTATTTGGTGGTGTGGCTGCAGCTCTTACGTACAGATAGTAGGACTTGTCAATGAAGTAAGAAGGTGGTTTATGTGCATCTGTTATGGGAATTGGTGTTTTTCCTTGGGATTTCATGGTTTTCTTTTGTTTTGGAGAAATTTTCATGCTTATAATTGACTTGGGTAGCTACTGAATAGTGAAGAGGGTGCCTTCTTCAATGAATGACTCATTGAAGGTTCTTTGTTACATGCCAGCTCCTGTGCTTCTGGTCAGTGCATTTGTTAGCACAGTTTAAGCAGCTCCTCCTGGCTGTGCCAGTCCCCATACTGTTCTGGAGGGGAGCAAAGGAGCCTGAGATACCTCCTCAGCTTGCTCATATTCTGGAGGGGAAGAAAAAACTGTCTCTTCTGTAGCCTTATCAAGTGGCTACCACTGCTCTGTTGAGGTGATGTTAGACTTTTGAATGTTTGTGTAGCATAAGAGACTTGAATTCTGTTGGCTTTCTTCGGGGTGTCATTTTATCAGTAGATGTACTGCTGTGTGTGAAATTATTGTAGTCCAGTGCATTTGTGTGTGTGCATATAAAGCTGTGGAGATCTGATGGTACATACATACGATTTTTTACTTATCTACACTTAGTCTTTGCATTCACTGTGTTCCTAGCTAATTGCATTGCTGTTGTTCTTGTACTGTCAGCCGCTGTGGAGGTTTGTAGATAATGTGGAAGATGAAAGACTGCTGGTCTACAGATCTGAAGATATTAAAGATTTCTCAAGACTGCAGTCCCCCAAAGTGTGTGGTTATTTGAAGCTGAATGAAGATGAGCTGCTGCCAAAAGGACTGGAAGACAGGAATCAAAACGAAGGTGAGTGGCCCTAGTTGGGAGAGAAGTGTCTTTGAAACAAATGCTTGAATTCTGGCTGTGTTAGCAAGTAAGGTCAGAACCTGGGCAGTAATCTGTGTTGCTGTTTCTTAACTGTTAGCTCCTTAAATTTGCTGGGGGTGGGGGAAGAGCAGCATTCTTCCTTATGCCCATTCCCCATCCACAAAAACCCCAACAACTGGTGAATGGAAGAAATTGTTGCTCAGGGCAGGTTTCTTCCTGGCTTGTTGAATGGTTGTTTGGCCTCACCAAAGTGTAGGCTGAGGAGAGGAAGCAATTTTCATTGGGCCTGAGCAGTTTATGAGAGCTGGCAGCAATATAGGTGTGTTCTAAGGTGAATGTTAAATCAGCTGTGCAGCAAGACCTGTTTGACCTCAATGGTCACTCAAGAAATCCATCCTGAGCTGTGATGGGTTTTTGAGAGTTTTTGGACCCTCTTTCCTCTGTCCTTTGCTGTGTCAGCAGAGGTTGGGATAATGCCTAGGAACAGGAGGAGGAGAGGTGTTAAGGCTGAGGTGATGACCATAAAAGCTCTATGGATAAACAACTCAATTTCACTGCTATACATTCCTTTCCTTACTACAAGTTTGAGGACTGTAGGAAGACAGAATTTAAGAATAGCTATAAAAAAAAGAATGCCCAAAACTAAACATCCCCATTCTCGCCCCAGAAACCCACCCACACTGACATTCATGTCCTAAATAAGGATAATAGACTCAGCAGTGGTAGTTGTATCGAGCATTTATTTTATTTAACGTTCCCTTTAGCAGGTGTCCATCGGCAGAAAAGAGCTGTGCCAGAGACCTCCAAAAACACGTGCAAGATGTTGGTAGTGGCAGACCATCGTTTTTTCAAGTATATGGGCCGTGGGGAAGAGAGTACCACGATAAACTATTTGGTAAGTAAATGTACTCCATTAAAACTTGCTGGAATAGAGGTGGGAAAATGTAGGGATTCGGCAGTTAAAACAACATACAGCTTATACTACTTTCATGCAGCACAATGTGTTTACATCTCGTGGCTGTGTGTGCTTTTTACCTTGGAAAGGGCTAAATCATGCTTTAAAAATACTTTGTAATGATAATACTATAGTTAAATAGTCTTCAAGTTTCACTAAGAAGCAAATTCCTTCCTTTCATATACTGCTTGTGGTTATGCCATTTTCTGCTTAAGAACTTCTCTTTTTCCAGTCAGAGCTTTAGAATCTCCTGGATTTTGAAATCCACTGCAAATGATCCAAGCATCTTTAAAGTTCTAGCATGTGGATTGCTCATATATGAGGCAAAAGCAACTTACATAGGTTTCTTTTTCCAAATTGTTTCAGGATTCTCTGTCCAGAACAATAAAACTAGGAGACACAGTTCACAATTCATTTGGTTGTACATGGGTGTTGTGGGTTAACCCCAGCGGGCAGCTCAGCCTCATGCAACTTCTTACTCACTCCTCACAGATGGGAAGGGGAGAGAACCAGAAGGGTAAAGGTGAGACAACTTGTAGGTTGAGATAGAGTTTAATAGGTAAAGCAAAAGTTGTTCATGGAAGCAAAGCAAAACAAGGAATTAATTCACTGCTTCCCATCAGCAGACAGGTGTTCAGCCATCCTCAGGAAAACAGGGCTCCAGCACCTGTACCAACAGCAGTGGAGTCGTCTACCTGACAAGTTTTTGTGAAATAGAACAAGACCTGTCCACAGCCTTTCAGTAGGAGTGGAGAGTTTGGGGGGTTGGGAACTGGGGACAAAACCATATGAAAACACTTGGAGGTCCATTGTTTGTTAAAAGTCTCTTTCTGAGCCTGACTCTTTGAAATGCTAATCACTCCGTTCCACCTTTGCTGGCTTTTTGACCTCTCTGGCCCCAGGAAAGCTTTTACATTCTCCAGGTAAGGGAGCCTCAGTCGGTGTGTTTGCAGAGATGCTCTTATCTCAGCATCTGACATGTGCTGAGGCTGACTTGCTGTTGAGTTTCCTGGGTAGATGGGTACTGTTTACAACACAGTGATTGGAAAACTAAAGCCTAAACTATTATCATGTGGCTCTGAATGTCATTTCTCATTCTCGGCAAGTTTGGTGGTTTATATTTAGTAGAAGGTGTTTTTTTGGAAGAGAACGGCTTGAAAAGGGAGGTTTTAATAGTGAGCACTGACAGGAGACTTTCTGGAACCTTGTGCTTGAACCATAATGAGGAAAGTAACAGGTTTTTGGCTGGGAAAGGGAAGCAAGCCTTGGGGGTCAGTTAAACTAGTTAAGCACCATGCTAAAACAAAGCAGTAAAAACAACCCTTCGCCTCTAAGAAATCTGGAAAACTAGTGTTTGAACAAAGTGTTTCCCAAGATGTCTTGTTCTTAATATTATTGCTCTTCCACTACACAAACGAAAGTGATAAATGGCAAAGTTTGTACTACTTTTTTTTATGGTGTAAGATTTTCAAGGCTATTTGGTAAATACTCACTGATCCAAAACCAACAGTACTTGGATCCAGAGAGTATGTCTGTTCCCTTATATGAGGTCAAATTTTAATATGAAATGAGTGTTTCTGGATAAGTATGTTGCAGCTTATCTGAGTGTCTTGAATTTTACTACATGAAAGCTTGACTAAATAACTTGTTTTCTTTTCCTGCATAGATTGAATTGATAGACAGAGTAGATGACATCTACCGAAACACCTCCTGGGACAACGGAGCCTTCAATGGGTATGGGATACAGATAGAGCAGGTATTCACTGAACTATGCAAAGGCTTTCCAAATTAAAGAAACATGTTTTAAATATCAGGGTTGCTGATTTTTTTCATCTGGTTTAGAGCTAAACCAATAAAATCCTGTATTACTAACTTCAGCCAGAGCACTGTGAAATAGCATCTTACCAGTGGTAGTCTTAGTCACACACAGTGCCCATTTTCAGTTCCTGCAGTGTTTCAGATGTGTTTTCAGGGAGAATCTTTCCATATTTAATCTCAATTCAAAGGTGCTTTTTTTCCCCCTGAATATGAGGCGCTCTTGTTTCTGCCAGACATTCTCTGTGTTTATTTTATGTTTCTGTCTGTGACTAGTGCTTAGCGTACAAAGCCTGAGTGGGCCTCAGACACAGATGAGAAAACACAAATCCTGACTGAAGAGCTTTAATGACTCCCTTAGTCATCATGATAGTGTAGAGGCTGGTATAGGGTGGACACAGGAAATGTAGTGACTTCAAAATGTATAATGGCATCTGAAAATTAGTGCACGGAAATCTAGAAAAGGGCTTTAGAAACAGGAGGCTTGGTGTGCTGCAATAGCTGCGGTGTGGGGCATGGAGACTAATGGTACAGGCTGACTGCCCCTTTGCTGGGAAAAGGTCTGCAGGAACAAGGAAGGAGCATTAATTGGGCAGGGAAGGGGAGAGAACATGATGCGCTAATTCTGGGTTACTGGGAAAGTAACAGTCCTTTAAAATATGTTCTGGTTAGCTAGAACTCTGGAATGGTTTGGGGTTGTTTATGTTTATCTTGATTGCATTTTGTTGTTTTATTTAGAAATAGTAAAATGAGTCTCAAAGCAGAATGTTACAGCGAAAACTTTTGATGTTGCCTTGTAAAAGGGCTGGTGTAGTTACTTATGATGTAGTCTGTGTATTTAACTAGCAGAGGCTGAAAAGTTAATGTTAGAATCATGCTAAGTCTGAACTTTTCTCCTTGCAGATCTATTGAGAGATTTAAAATGACATTGAAACATTTTCTGTAGCTGTAAAATTGACCAAAATTCCTCTGCATTATTGTTGCCCTTTTTGAAATGTAGATTATCATCCACAATGAGCCAAATGTTGTAAAGCCTGGAGAAAAGCATTACAATATGGCAAGAAGTTACCCAGATGATAAGAAAGATGCCTGGGATGTGAAAATGCTGCTAGAGGTAGGTTGTAACTGCTGAAAAATTGTGCCCCTTCTAGAGAATTACTCATTCATACAGCTGCTCTTGTCGTAACGGGTCAAACTTGTCTCTCCCTTCACATGACATGTAGATGTCACACAGAGTCAAACCAGCGGCCGTGCTCTGTAGCCCGTGCTAAAGGGCTCTGTTGCATAATTACAGAGCACGCACCAATTAGTTTTATTAATGTGGTCTGAGTCAGAAAGGCAGTCCTGATATGTCTGGCCCTGAGACTGGCTGCCTTGTGACCTTCATCGAATTATGGTGCTTGGTTTTCCCCTCCCTCTTAAAAGGGGAAATGAATAGACAAGTTAAGTAAATGAATGTTTATAATGTACTTGGGTATTAGTTTAATTTCCTACAGCTCTGTAGGACAGCTAAACAGCTGCTATTTTATGACTTAACCAGATCCAGGAGGTGCTTCTCTGGCACATTAGATAAATGTCCTTATTTATAGGCTTCTAATATGCACTGTAAACTGCCTAACAGACATTTGCCTTTTTTTAAATCTTTTAAGCAATTTAGCTTTGACATTGCTGAGAAAGCAGCTCACGTGTGCCTTGCTCATCTCTTCACCTATCAAGATTTTGACATGGGAACACTTGGATTGGCTTATGTTGGCTCTCCCAGACCTAACAGCCACGGTGGCATTTGTCCTAAAGGCAAGGCTCCTTTTTCTTCTGTCCCTGTTGGGGGTTGAAAGAGTTTTTGTTATTTGCATTTAATCCTTTTCTCCAGCTTGCATGGAGCATTTGTGCTATCTGCATAGACACTAGTAGGTGGGTTTTGGACAGAATAGATGGCCGTTTTCTTGGCTGGTGCTGGAAGGATAGAAGGATAGAAGTCACTAAACAAGTTGGCTAGAACAAACCCTAGATCAGGGTCTGCTTTATGTGGGCTCATCTTGCAGTGGTTCTGGAATGGCATATATGCTGTAGTCATGGAAATTTCTTATGCTTTCCTCTTTACTGCAATACATGAGCTGCTTGAAAGATTCCCAGCTCCCAAAACTGGCAAGAGGCAGGGTCTCACTAGTGAGCCTGTGAGAATAGTAAAGCTTTCACTTCCCAGACAAAGACCCTTCTCTCCCCAAAAGTACCCTGAAACCCAAGAAAAATATTTGTCAATTTTAATTTATGTCTCACTTCTACAGCTTATTACAGTCAAATTGCAAGGAAGGATATCTATCTGAACAGTGGCTTAACCAGCACCAAAAACTATGGGAAGACCATCCTCACAAAGGTAGGAGAGAATCCTCCTCATACGTGTGTGCTGGTGGTGTGTGCCATGGGATTGTGCCAAGCTTCCGTGATTGCTCAGAAGCAAACTGCTGGGTTTCTGTTTGAGTCAGGGCCCTGGGGACAAGGATGTAGGTCACACAACAAAAATCATCGTGTTTGTTCTTGCTGACAAGGAGAGTCAGGGCTGAATGGAACTGAAGATTGAATTGACTATGAAACAGGAGAGAGGAAGCATAGCTAGTGTCTAGTGGGAGCTGTAGTTTTCCATATAAAACAGGTTTTTGATATCTAAAGAGGAATTTAAATGTATTTTGCTTTAACAAAAAATTCCCAAACAACAAAACTCCAACAAACAAAACCTCAAACAGAAGAAGCAGGAAAAATAGGAGGTTTAGTTTGAGTCTTTGAATGAAATTCCTCCACCAGATTTCTGTGTGTCCTGAGTAACTGGAGCAGAGAACGGTGTAATAGACAGGGCTTATTAGGGCTAATACTAAACTTACTGTAAGTTGATGCTGTCTGGATTTTTTTTCCCATACTTGATGAGATAGTAAATACATAAAGGCCTGAATATGAGCTTTGTCTGACTTGTAAAGACACCAGAGCAGTGCCTGTGTCTGCATCTACTAAATTTTTGCAGTTGGGCATATTTTGCTTTTGCTGACTTCTCAGCTGTGCCTTTCTGTAGCTTGATTATAAAGGGAATTCATAATCGATGTGTAGGCTGGAACTTGGCACAGAAGCTGTCAAGAAGATAGGAAAAAAAGACAGTGAAGCTTTGTGTTAGAGGGATGTTGACAGAGAGCTCTAGCCGTTGCCATGCTATTTGCATTTATTGTTCAGTCTCCAAACTGGAGTTCTGCCTAGGCTTACAAAGGAAATTAAGTTTTCTCTCTTCCCAGTGGCAGGTACAAGGCTTGGGATGATGCAGTGGGAGCATTATGGATTGGTTTCACAGGGAAAGTGCTGCGTGGTGTCAATTTTTGTTTAAAAATAGAAAAGTCTTGCTTAAAACCCTTCCCCAGATTAAACACAGGGAAGCACAGGAATGATCTCTGGGACTGCTCTCCTGTCTCTGGCTCTCGCATTAGCTGTGCTTGGACACAGAGTGGTGCTGCTCATTGCAGTGCTTGGTCCTTCCTGTGCCCTCACAGCAGCTGCAGTGGTGGGTTCTCTCTGCTGAACTGCCTGGGCTCCTTGTGGTTACCTTTATTTCTGTGTGAGCTGAATTTGTGGGTCGTCACTGTGTGAGCTTGACACCATCTGCTGGGGAAGGCGCTGTGGGAGGTGCGCAGTGAGCAGAGCTGGTTTGGGATCCTCAGCAGAGGCAGTGCTGTCTTGCATAAATGAGGTTGGAAATCCATCCCTGTTGGGCCACAACTGTAGGTGTCTTTCCTAGTAATCATGCAATAGCAGAGTTTACTCAGCACTCCTGATGTCATCATCCACTTAGAAGAAACAATTTAACGGCAACATATGTTAAACAAGAGATTGACTAATTGTGGTAGCTGGTGCTTGTTTGGATTGGGTTTTGTTTCAACTTTTTATGCCTTCCAGCTACTTCAAAGCAAATTTTCTTATTTTAAGTATCTGTATTGCATTGAAAACAAGATTGAGTTGTATTCTGGGACACCATTTTGCCTTTAACAGAGTTCAAACCTAGTCTGGGGACTTGACTTTGAAATGGGCCTTAATTTTATTTGCTTTTGTTTCCCCACTTCTTAAAAAAAAGAATGTGCGTAGGAAATCCCTGTCCATCTTCACATATCTTAGAATTGCAGGTGGCCTGGAAGTAGTCCTTTTCTGCTCGGACTAATTTTATTCAACATTGTTATTTTCATGTTCAAAAAAAGGAGGCTGATCTGGTTACAACACATGAACTTGGGCATAACTTTGGAGCAGAGCATGATCCTGACAGTCTGCCAGAATGTGCCCCCACTGAAGACCAGGGAGGGAAATATGTCATGTATCCTATTGCTGTCAGTGGGGATCATGAAAACAACAAGGTATGGTTGTGTAGTTTTGTTTCAGCATACAAACTTCTGCCATGATCACTGACCCTTTGCATGGAAAGTCTGTTTAGTTAATAATTCCTGTAGCTTGAAACCATCAGAAATATAATGGATTAGCCATAAAAAGAAAACATTTGCATGTGGTTGGGTTCTCTGCAAGATAAGCTCATCTTTGGAATCTGAGTTTCACTGGAGTTCATAGCATGTCAAGGTGTATTTTAATTAGTTGATTGTAAGTAGCTGTGGTCACATGCAGCTACAAGCAAGTCATCAGCAAGAGTCCAGCCCAGGACCTTCAGTACCCAGTGGTGTTTGGGTGGTCCATAGCTGCTGCTGGTGGAGAGAGACTGCCTGACTCCACAGCCAAGGAAGCACCCGCTGGCAGTGGGGACTTGGCATTGTGCCTGTGCTACATATGAGAAGCCAAGATTATCAGGAGATGATTAGTCTTCAGTCTGGTCTGTCTTGTGGTTCATGCCCAGTCCTGCTGCCAGCAGTGCAGTCTATCTCTGTTGCTGCAGTTTTGCATCCCGTCCTGGTGATGGGGAAGCCCTGAAGCTGTGGAAGAGTTGGAGCTGGCTCTGAGCCAGACTGTGCAGGGAAGTCCCTGCAGTATAATGTAGCAGTGTCCATTGCGGACTCAACCATTACTTTCCCATCTTAAAATTTTTCTGGGGTATCAAACTGTCAGTACTGAGGGAATAGCTGCTTTCTGAGACCCCGGAATCTGGAGGTGTAAGGAGGCTGTGGCTGTCTTAGATGCCAGTTGTTGACGGAATGATACATTCCTCAGTACTGCTCTTTCCCCCTGTGACTCTCCAGATGTTCTCGAGCTGCAGCAAAAAATCCATCCATAGGACCATAGAGATCAAGGCCCAGGAGTGCTTCAAAGAGCGCAACAACAAAGTGTGTGGGAACTCCAGGGTGGATGAAGGGGAGGAATGCGATCCTGGCCTCTTGTACCAACAGGCTGATCCTTGCTGCTCTGCAGACTGTAAACTGAAAGATGGTGCCAAGTGCAGGTAAGGGGAAATGAGCTGCAGCTTTACACAGGAGAGAGTGAAGGACTGGGCTGGAAGCTCGTAATGCCACCTGCAGGGCTACAGGCCTGTTTCTTGGCTTTAAGGGTGAATGTGTGAGCTCAAGACAATGAAGGATTTCAGGAAGGGCTACTGTCTGCATACATTAATTTGTATAGCATTCTGTTACTTTGAGAAGTGACAAGAGCTGCAGCCCTGAGAATTATTACTGTGGTGTTATTATTGCTACCATTGCTGTTCAGCAAACTTAAGCAATTGGAAAACAATGTTAAAAATTTCCTGTGCAAATACAATTTTTGCTTGTATTACAAGGTGGCTTTGTGCTGGGATCACACACTGGTATTGCAGGACTGCTGCAGCATGTGTGTGAGCAAACAACACAGTGACTGCACTAAATGAGCCTCTTTCTGTTCTTGCTTTTTGGAGTGTTCGTGGCCCTGTTGCAACACAGTGTCCAATCAGGTTTTTTTCAGAGTTCAGCTCAAGACAACATAATGTTAGAGAGCTCATGCAACTGCTGTTGTTTAGCAAGAACATTGCTCAATTTTCATGAGTGTCTTCTTGCATTAGGAGAGAACAATGAAAATAAAGACAGCACAGGATAAAAAGTAGGAAACCCTCAGGACAAACAGAAGTGGGGGGAAATGTGTGGGGAAGGAAAGAATGAAAGATCTTAAGGTGCACAGCAAGTGACAAGAGTAGGATCCTTGAATAAATACAAGGGTCCCTGTGTTGTCTCTCAGTATGTTGTACTTTCTGTGTGATTTTACCTGTAGTATATGAAGAGTGAGTGGGTGTGAAGAAAGGTCATTGTGGGAGGGGACAGAGAGGGCAAGGGTTGGGTCAGCGAGTCAGTCTCCAAGAGGTAGCTTTATTTCCCTAAACATCCTTTTTTTCCTCTGGCTTTGTCATGCTTGTACTTATTTTCTAAAAATTGCTCAATATGTATTTTTTTCATTTTGATTTTTCTGCAGTGACCGGAACAGTCCCTGCTGTAAAGGCTGCCAGTTTGAAAGTGCACAAAAGAAATGCCAAGAAGCCATAAATGCTACTTGTAAAGGAGAGTCTTTTTGCACTGGTAGGACGTGGTTGTGTCCCCTGTACATCAGCTAGCCGAGTGCTCCAGGCTCAGTGTCCTGTTCAACCCTCTTTTGGTCTAGTGCCCTTTATTCATCCGGTACATGTAATTTTGGAGACCAGTTAAGCATCACATAATTGTCCTATAATGAATTTCATTGTAGTTCAGGAGTCACTTGGTGATTTATTGCCCAGAAGAACATGGAAAAACGTTGATTTCTTTTTCCTTCTTCTTTGTTTCTTTCCCTTAAGAAAAGAAAAAGGAAAACAGTGTGTCACTGGGAGGGGGCAAGAATGAGCTGAATCTTGGCATAGAAAGGGTGGAATTACTGCAACTCTGCTTCACTTCCCCACTTATTTACTACTTCTTTATAATCTTTCCTGGAGGCAAGGAGTCAAGTCAGAGTGCCTGCTTTGCTGAGAGTGCCTCCAGGGTCTGCACCTACTGCTTGGCTGGCAGTGCCACAATGCCCGAGCTGTTGAAATCCTCGGGAGCTGTGGCTGCCTCGTGGAGCAGCTGGCAGGCAGCCTGCAGATGGAAGCCAAGAGCAAGCTATTGGGATTCCCTGCCCATGGCAGGGGGGGTTGGGACTAGGTGATCTGTAAGGTCCTTTCCAGCCCTGAAATTATGTGATTCTATGATTCCCCTGGGATAAATCTGGATTTTTTTATTTTCCATTCTTCTCCTCCTGCACACTTACATGCTCTGCCCTTTGTTCTAGCACAGTCCTCTCACTCCGTTGAATCTCATCTGCAGGGAACAGCAGCGAGTGTCCCCCTCCAGGGAATGCTCCAGATGACACGGTCTGTGTGGACATGGGGAAGTGCAAGGATGGGGAGTGTGTCCCTTTCTGCGAGAGGGAGAAGAACCTGCGGTCGTGTGCGTGCAACGGTGGGTGACATGGGACTGAACTGAAACTTGTGCTTCTCCCGGCTCCTTGCTGGCCTGTTGAGGGGCTGAGTTTGTGGTGTCTGAAAAAGTTTGAACAGTTGGGTTTTGTAAGGTGTTTTCTGTTTAAAATAAGGAATGTGAACGTCCTCCTGTCTTCTGGGTTGAAGACATTGAGACTTATGGTCTGACATTTCAGCTAAAGGAGAGGACACTCTCCTGCCTTCCATCTCTGCCACTGGGAGAGATTGTAAGGAGGTCTCAACCAAGCTCTGGGCCAGGCACCTGGCAGAGGAGTAGTGGCCTCTGACAAGTGGTTAAAGATTTCAGAGAGGTTAAAGTGTCTTGAGAACATAGGACCCAAGTCCAGTGCCCTGCCACTGCAAACCTGCCTGTCGAATACTTCTGCCAGTCTTTCCTGTGCACTTGCTCTCCATGTCATCTCTTAAATGCACTAAAGAGCTGGGAGCAGAGGAAAGCTCACAGGGTTGGTGCAGGGAACTGCTGTGAGCCCTACTGTTTGGATGGAGGGCATAGCCAAGGAGGAAGGTGCCTAGAGGACTCAGAGCCCAAGAAATATTTTAATCTGTCTTTTTGGATGTGTTTGGAACCTCTTCTCTGGCCTATTGATTCCTGCAGCATTGGGGTACCAGCTCGGAGAGCTTAGTCCAATTGTACCCCATAATATGCTGCACGGAACATGTGATTGAGTTTTAGACTCGACTGTCAGTACCTGACTCACAGTCCTGCCTTCCCTGTGGGGAAGCTGTGCAGGAACACAGGGGACTCTTGATGCTTCCAAGGAATGAGTTTGTTGCTTCCTTACAGAAACAGATAACTCCTGCAAGGTGTGCTGCCGGGACGAGCAGGACAGGTGCACACCGTACGTGGACGCCAACGACCAGTTCCTGTTCCTGCGCAAGGGGAAGCCTTGCACTGTGGGGTTCTGTGACACAAACGTGAGTGTTCCCAGCTGCCCACACACACTGTGCTCTGCCCGTGGCTTCATGTCCCACTCCTCTGCAGGGAGGGCTGAACTGGCAAAGACAAGCCAAAGTTTGACCTGCTGCTGAGTAGGGTGATACGTTTTAAGTACCTCTTCACGGGGTGGGTATTAAAGGATGTTGGAGGCGGCAGATGGCAGTTAGTTCTGCAGAGACTTGTGCATGGGGAAGCTGTTACCTTGTGCAGTTCCCTTCTGCTGCTCCCCACAGCTCAGCTCAGCTGTGTGTGTGCAGGAGGTGAGCGAGTGCTGCCGCAAGCTCTCTAGGTTTGCAGTGCTTGCCTTTGCAGCTGTTCACATTAGCCCAATTAATTTTAATAATTCAGGTCAGGGAGCAATCACATAAAAATCCAGCTGGCAGCACCTGGAAGGGGCAGCAAGGCTGTGGCAAGGACACTGTTGTTGGTACTCAGGTGGGCTTTTCCATGGACAGTTGTGTCACCTGCAGACCCAGTGGCTGGAGCTAAACTGGGTGTCAGCAGAAGTGAATTTGGGAGGGCATGCCCCAGTTCTTCTGCTGGAAGAACTGGAAGACCATTATCTACTGTGATAAATCAGTACAGCCAAATCTGGAATTGCATCTGTAACCTTGGGCTTCGGAGAGCTGCAGCCTTCTCTGTGGGTAATGGGAACTGAGGCTTCCAGGGCTTAAATCTCTCCAGAAACTTCCATTTTATGTCCCCTAACACGGGCCAAAAGTGGGGTGGATTTTTTGCATGTTTCAAACATTAAAACTTTGTGCTTCAGACAGCAATTGAATGGAAACTGTTTTACCAAAAATAAAGGTAGTATAATAGATTGCTGCTACTGGCACGAGTGTAAATCTGTATTCAGAATCTAAGTCCAGTGCTGCTGTGTCTGTAGTTCTCATTTTGTTACCATCCTTGTGTGTCCTTCCCTCTCCAAGAAGGCAGTAGTTCATGCTTAGGTAGCATAAGATTATTTTGTAATAAAGTAAGTTTACTTTTGCAGGGCAAATGTGAGAAGCAAGTACAGGATGTGATTGAACGATTTTGGGATTTCATAGACCAACTCAGCATCAATACTTTTGGTAAGATACATAATCACATCCTTCTGGGATTTTTGAGTTCATGGCATGAACCTGTAAAGCTTTGGAGGGAGTTAGCTGGCTGGTTATATTCACCTGTGTGCAAGGGTAGCTAGTAGCTGTGCTTGTGATATATGCAAGAATATTTTTGCTAACAGTTGAGAATATTGATCTTGCCTTTTAAAGCTGAAAGGATGGGGATCATTTCTCCACTCTGTTATTTTCTAGGCATCTTCCAAGCTTGTAAAGGAGATGGTAGCTTCTTGTCTGAATACCAAGAAGTAGGTCACTTAGAGAAAATAAATTAAGACAGTCTCCTTAGAGATTAGCTAGATTCAGCATGGTATAAAGTGGGGCCTCTCCAGGGGGTTTAAATGTCAAAAGACTGGGGAAACTTCCTTTCTCTATCATTTAAGAAAACCACTGAGGTCACAGACCTCAAGCTGTGTGCTGAGTCACTGCCCAGGGACTGAGTGGGCCTCTTTGGTCTTGATCCAACCACATGATCCAAGCAGGTGTCACCTCACCCCCAGTGTCACCCCTGGTGTCTCACTCTGTGTCAGTGGGACCAGACAAACCCATTGTTAAGCCACTGCTGTGTAACAAGTGGTAACTGCATATGCACACAGGAAAGCTGTGCCTGTGTGCTGCAGTTATCTGGGTTTGGGGCTCTCAGTCTCTGGTCCAGGGACAAAAACTTGTTTCTTAGGTAATTGTTAAAGCTATTTAGCCTACTTTTGTATCAGAATTTGGTAATGGACTCACAGTGTGTCTTGTGTAACTGAGAGGAGCAGCTTGGCTGACCCAGTATAGCCTGTTCCAAAGCAACTCTCATTAAATGTTACAGCCTGCCAGTGTTTCTCATTGGGAACAACAGAGGGAAAAGCCTGTTATTGGTAACATATTGGATATAGTTTTCTGAAATTGTGTAATTTTATTTTTGCCTACTTCTGCTTCTCTGAGCAGTTCTGAGGCTTCACTTGCCTGAGCAGTGGCTGCAGAATGGGGATAGATGTGTATGTTCATCAAGCAGCAGTTGGTAGGTTACTGACAGATTTGAACTGGTTTCACAGGGAAGTTCCTAGCGGATAATATAGTGGGCTCTGTGCTTGTCTTCTCCTTACTGTTTTGGATTCCTCTCAGCATCCTTGTGCACTGTGTGGTGAGTAAGCTCTTTTTGAGATGACTGCTCTCTTGGATTTTGCTGTCAGAGAATACCCTTCATACATGAAGTGGCAGATGGCTGTGGGAGAAGGTGATGGGAAGCTTTTAGCAAACCCTGAGGGGGAAATCCAGCATGTGTAAGGCTTACTTGCTCCTTCAGTAGGCTAAACTCTGCCAGGCTCTGGCAGACCCAGTGCTCCCATGACTATTCCCTGGAGCCCTTTTCATTCTTTCCCAGGCAGACTTTCTTTCTCTGCCTCCTGAATTCTACCCAAGTATAATTTTGGTAACTTTATTATGAAAGTCAAAGTTTCCTAAAGCCCTGTGAAGAAATAAGACATCCACATCTTGAGGGTGGACCGAGCGGGAAGTGATCTTGGTTAAGCTTGGGTGGATGTGGTGGGGAGAGAGAGCTGCTGACAGCAGTGTAGGGTTAGAGCAGAGGGGTGCTGTGCCCACAGACACTCCTGGGATGGATGGAAAGGTATGGGAGGTAGGCAAAGGGAAAAGAACCTCATACAGTGTATCACTGCAGGGAAGAGGGGACAGGGACCTTACCTTCCTTGTTTTGTATGTGTGTGTGTGTTTTGATTTGCTTTTGTTTGTTTTCCAATAGGACAAGAAATTGGACAAGCAGTATGAGGAGAACACAAAGTCCCTGTTTTGCCCCAGTGTAAGTTGCTGTCTGGATCTTAGCAGAAACCTATTTGATGTGTAAAATCTGAACCTTGGGTGTCTGCAGAGTATTTATCCAAGAAGTGAAAATGGAGAGCCCAGGAGAGCTGTGCCTCATGCTGCAAAGGGCTGATTCAGTTTGTGGGAGAGCTGGTTTCTGGAACAAACCTGTGCTCACTCTATCAAGCACTGCAGCTTGGCAGGGTCTGACTCTTCCTCCCTCCAGTGAGTGCCTTGGCCTCAGTGACAGAGCAGCTCTCCTGCAGCAGCTGCAGCTCCCAGGGCAGGAAGCTGCTTGGCTCTGCAGAGCATCACTGAGCACCACGGGCACCGTGTACCGCGTCCCTGCGGCACAGGTCACTCAGCCTCAGCCACAGGCTGCTGCTTCCTGGCCAAGTGGTGGCAGTGAAGCTCAGCAGGATGAGGCTGCAGAGAATCTCTGCAGCCTTTGGTGTCTTGACTGCAGAATGGCTGTTTGCAGGAGGCTTCTAGAGTGCTACAGCCTTCCAGTGCTCAAGGGTGAGCTGGCCTCACAGTGCAGGGACCCATCAGTGACACTTCTCATTTTGCAGATAATGGAGCAAGGAAGAGAAAAAAAAGTGCCTGGATAAATTGTACTTACAGTCCAGCACAGAGCACCTTCTGATACAGGTTTCTGGGTATCCTGTCCTGTGCTTTGACAATCCAATTCTTGCTAATAACTGAAACAGTTAAGGAAATGTTCTTTTGTAAGGAGGAGGGACAAGGAAAGCCTCACAGAACTCTTCCTTGTACAACCACTGAGGGAAGCATACTCAAGGCAGACTGCCTCTGTCATCTACCCTGACAGAACTGAAGGTGATCTTGGTTCAAGTGCCCCATAGCTAGTCTTGAATGCCATGAGAAAAGCCACCTTAGAGCCTTACACCTGAATTCAGTCAAGCAAATCCCAGAGGCTGGTGTAGTGAGGGAGCACAGGTACAATTAATTGGCTCCTTGCACCAGCCACAGTTTAACAAACAGATCTTGTGTCTTTTGGGTCTGCTGAGGATGGAGCAGTTGGGAAATGCAGTACTGGTAGCAGGTAAACATCTCATCCTGCCCAGTATTAGCATTTGCTGAGATCCATGAGGATTGTTTTATGCCCATAAGTCCCTGTATATTTTCTAAAACATGTTCAAATAGAAGCAAAAGAAATCCATGGACTTCTAACTTAGTCTGGGTTCCAGAGTTTGGTTGTGATGACAGTGGTCCCTCCAGTCTTTGACCCTGTGTTCAGTGCAGCTTTGTGTGCATGAAACCAGAAACTCTCCAGGTTGGAGGAGTGGAATAAGTTGTACCTTGGACTGTTTCCCTCCACTAAGCAATCAGTGTCATCTGGCTTGACCCTGTACCTCCAGTCCTGGGCTTTGCCCAGGCAGTGTTGTGCCCCAGGCAGGTAGGATTGTCATCAGCTCTGTCCCAGTGAGGCTGTCACCTGTGGTGCTTTATACAGAGAAGGAAGAAGCAGAGGTAAAACAGCCTTTCTGCCTTCAGGGAGTCGAGGGGAGGGTGTCGTAGCCTTGGAACTGTTCTAACAGGAGTGCGGGTGCTCCTCAGAAGGTGCCTCCTCCCTTTGAAAAATGGTGCCAAAACTGAACCCTGAGCTCAATCCTGGTTGCTGTTCCAGTGATGTGGCTGCTTGTGTTTTGCAGAACGTGGAGATGCTCAGCAGCCTGGA